TGCTTGGCCTCTCGGCAATCTTGATTGTCCCTTCCCTACTCTCCACTGCCTGGCCTTTTATACCTCAGTGACACAGACAGAAGTGGGTGTGAGGATTATTTTAGTTAGCATGATGTTTTTTCAGGTTCCTCCATGTGGTAGCATGCATCAGAAGAGCATTCTTTTTTTATGGTTGAAAGATTTCCATCAGATGTATAAACCCGTTTTTACCAGTTGATGACATTGGGCTGTTCTACCTTTTTACTATTGTGGATAACGCTGTGAGCATCAAATACAAAGATTTGTGTGTCCCTGCTTTCAGTATTATTGAATGTTAAGGCTCTATTCCAAAATCCCAAATACAACTCCAGGTCTTTTTGAAGGAAAGACAAAGGATTTATTCTGGCCAGGGCCAAGGAGCAGAAAACAGACAGTTCTTCAGCCCAAGACACTGAACGCGGGCTAGGGGGCCACTTAAAAATCAGAAAACCACAAAAGAGGGGGGCAGGAGAGGCAAGCACAGTCTTAGAACTGGTGCCTTTTTGTACCCATTCAGGAAGTAAGCTAACGTCTGCTCCATAGTTTAAAGATATTGTGGTCAGAGTGCAAGTGGGTGGGGGTGTCAGCATCTATGTGAGTGGGCTCATGCACAGGGTGAGATGTCTGAGCATGAGATCAGTCCGACTTAACTTTCAAATCTGCCCATGACATGAGGAGTGAAATTGCTGAGTCATGTGGAAATTCTGCTTAATTTTTTGAGAAACCACTCTATGGAGTTCTCTGTCTAGGTCAAATGGCTGTACTGTTTTACATTACATATGGTTGCCTGTCCTGAGCCATCTATGAACTGTGTGTGTGAGCTATGTGCATTGGAGCTCTATGAGGGGACAGGTCTGGCATTGCACACTGATCGGGCCGTGCSGTACAAGTGTGCCTCTCCTCTYMCTSYGCCTGTGATCCCACACAGCACCTGAGATGGGTGTGTCTTGCAAAGATGTCAATCAATCTGCTGGCCACAGGACACCAAGAAGCAGGACTCCACCTTTGAAACCTTATCCCTGCCTTATCTGATGAAGAACATTCTATCAAATCTCCTTTGTGTGTCACCTCTATAAAAATAGATTCTGGGTACACACTCTTTTTCCAGCACCTTCCAGTGTGAAAGCTGACCCTAAGGTCACAGAGCAGTCCCACCCTTGATCTGAGAAACTCAAGTCCATGTGTTGTGTGATTTCTTTGCTGTTTTCTTAGCTTAATGTTGCAGCCAGCTTTTTGAAACCAGCTTATCTCATCAGTGCAGGTCGTTGTCGAGAGTCGCTTTATTTAATATTTATTTTTACGGTACTGGGGACGGAACCCAAGGTTGTTCTACCCCTGAGCTACATTTCCAGTCCTTTTTATTTTGAGACAGGGTCTAAGTTGTTCAGGTTGTCTTTGTACTTGTGAACTTCTTGCTCAATCCTCTCCCCACAAGTAGTTGATGTTATAGGGACAGTACCACCATGTCCACTATGGGTTTACTTTTATATTAAATTATGTGAATAAATTACTGTAGCAAATTGACACTCATATATACTGAACAGATACATAAAGTACATCTCTGTATTGTCATTATTTGACATAGGACCTCTGTTGCCTATGCTGGCCTCTGACTTGTGACTTGTGATTTTCCTGCCTCAGCCCACATAGCTGGAATCATAGGTATATACCTCCCTATCTGGCTGCAAATATATCTCTCTCAGCTAAAACTGTATGATGTATRATCGAGCTGTCTGCCAAACACTTCTAATTACCATGATGATTAATAACAATGGTCCAGAGCCTTAAGTGTGTGTGTTGGAGGGGTGGGTTGTGAAAAAGGGTGGTGGGGGCAGACAGCAAAATAGCAAAAATAATTCCACATCCTGCAACTCTATTTCAACTCAGCTCATCTGACACTACAATTGAGTTAGAGGGGATGAAAAATAGAGAAGAAGATAAAGGTAGAGGAACGTGATGAGGTCAGACAGTGGTACTAGACCAGTCTGCTGTTCTTTACCTGCTTGATATTAAATTAGTATAAACGAAAGCAGTTCTCCTTCCTATCCCATAGTAATTTACAGATCACATTATTGATTTATGATCTTTAAAAATATTGAAGTTGTAGATGAAATACAAACCATGTACAGTACCTTAAACACTTATCAAAGGGAGGTGGAAAATAAGGGATTGAAACACTATCACTTTATTTTTATCACTTTATTTTTTTTGGTGGTGCTGGGAATCTAACCCAGAGCCATGTTCATGCACTCTATCACACATCTGCTATACCAGCCAGTTTTATCACTTAATTCCTCTGATCAGACTAGTCGCCTTCTAAAGCCATGGGAGATCACAGTGCTTTGGTATTTGGAGAGAGGTGAATGCAAAGGCATATCTGTAATTTTTATTTCTGGTGGGCCTTTCTTCAAGACAATTGTGCGATCTTCCCCATGGCAAAGCCTTTCACTGTGATCCAAAAAGAGAGAGTCTTCTAGTGGTCCAGTATGGATCCCACATGCTTCTGCTTTCTAAAAGAAAAAAAAAAAAAAAACCTCTGCTTAATATCACATCAAACATCATTTTCTTTCTTTTTTTTTTTTAAAGAGAGAGTGACAGAGACAGAGAGAGAAAATTTTTTAATATTTATTTTTTAGTTTTCGGTGGACACAACATCTTTGTTTGTATGTGGTGCTAAGGATCGAACCCGGGCTGCACACATGCCAGGCGAACGTGCTACCGCTTGAGCCACATCCCCAGCCCCATCATTTTCTTGTTATATCAAGATGAAAGTGTTCTGATCATTTTTCTAACTATCTGATGGATAGAGTAATATCTCTTCTAGAAGCAGAGCTCTGTGACTTGGTATTAATCTGACTACCAGGATGAGCCAGGAGGACTGAAGATTATACAGGTGGTAGGTAAGCCTGGAGTCAAATCATTAAACTTCAGCTTCACTACTTATGTGACCTTGTACAGGTCACATGCCACTCACCTCAGACTTAGTTTTCTCAAATATAAAATGAAAATATCAAGGGGACTGGAGATATAGCTCAATTGGTAGAGTGCTTGCCTTGCATGCACAAGGCCCTGGGTTCAATTCCCAGCACCA